GTGTGTGTGTGTGTGTGTGTGTGTGTGTGTGTGTGTGTGTGTGTGTGTGTGTGTGTGAGAGAGAGAGACAGGGGAAAAAGAGATAGGTTTATAGAGACGATCAATAAGAACAGCGTCGTGCTCTGGAGCAAAAGTGTATAAAAAAGGTACATCGTAAAAATAGTTTGGAAACTAAGAGTCACGAATAAAGCCTACTATGGGTTCGAACAAGTGTGTATTATGAGTCACGGAATAGCATCGGGGGTGGCTTCACCCTCTCCACTCTATTGATCCCACATTTCTGTATACTCATGCAACTCGAGTAGGACGGACGAGAAAATAAAGAGCAAACGGGACAGTTGGATGAAAGCTAGAGAGAGAAATAGGAAAAGGGACAAAGGAAGTAATAAAGGGGGTAAAAAAAGGGAATATAGTAGGAATATTGTGGAAGAAAGATCTGGGGAATGCTGAAACTATTAGGATCGTTCATTGCAAAGAGAGAGAAAGAGAGAGTTTGAATTTCTTAAATTATATATTTTCTAAACACTCAATATGGAGAACAATTTGCTTTTTCAGGAGCCTTATAAAAAAAAAAACTCGATATTTATACGGAACTAGGTCTCAGTTTTCCTAATAGAGTTCTACTAAACGGTCGACGCACCGTTGAAAAATCGACCGAATATTGCGACCTAATTTTGTGCAATTTCACGATGTATGTACAACAGAGCGCAGGTCATGTCATACATTATGAATAACGGCAAAATAACGGCGAATACGAAATAAAGAAATCTCTGATGAGAAAAGCTCTGATGAGAAAAGTTCAGAGTGCGCGTGAGAATTTTTATATTTGTTCGCAGAGAAAAGAGCGGTGGAAGAACGGAGAGGAAAAATTCAGAAAGGTCACATTGCCGTCGATCGCCATTATCGCGCGCTTTACTGTGCGTTTGGAATCGCGCGGAATGCATTTACGGGATTCACCTCGGCAAACAGGCACAATGCGTTCGGTGTTCGCGATAGAATCGTGCGATAGAGTACGTATAATCGTAGATTATGCGCTTCGAGTCTTTCGCGACGGTCGGCACGTGACGAGAGCCGCTATTGGGAACACGTGGAAACTGAAGTATGTAGGTAATCGGAATTCCGTCATGCGGTCGGAAACAGAGGCTCAAACAGCATCGAGCATAAATGAAGCTTTCAGGATTCTATGTCTTTTTCCGGTCTAATCAGAATCGTTGGTGCGAGTAACTCGCGATGCGGAGCAGCGCTAAATGTCTACGAGGCTTGGTTCGCAGTCTCCTTGATTCTTCTCTTAGGCAATCCCTAAGGATGCAGATTTTAAAGT